CCCATGATTTGGATTTTCAAGGAGAAAGGTATCCCGAAAGGTGAAGCCCTCGTCACATACGAAGACCCTCAGTGTGTCCAAGCAGCTATAAAATGGTTCCAAGGTTTGTTTCTGGATTATCTTTCTTGTCGTTTTGATCATTATTGAGTGTAAAAGCATGAAACCCCATTACCAGTCCTAAACGACTAGTTATGCCGAATTTAGAGCGATGAGCCACAAAAGATTAGCATAACAAGACTGTTTACCGCTTAAGGTAGATAACTCAGCCAGGGTTCCAAACTCGGGTATGAAAATTGGTAGCTACAGCAGGTTGAACTGCCCAGTCGCTAGCGTTAAGAGCATGCATATTGTTTTACTTTCTCAAAACGTGAAATTACAGTCAATTTCGTTTTTTCTTTCAGAACATGAATTTCTTGGCAGGAAGATTGATGTGAAACAAGCCATTAACAGTCAACGTCCCGTTATAATCCCTCCTGGTGGTGGTGGCGGTCAGAATAATGCAATGATGAACATTCCTAACATGATGCCTAATACGGGGTCAACTAATACCGCGACAGCCCTGGCTGCGGCTGCAGTTGCGGCAGCGGCAAGTGGGAACACAATGGCCAGTCTCATGAACAACAGTGCTGCAGCAGCTGCCAGCTTAGCTGCTCTGACTGGTGGCACGGGCACACAATACGATGGTAAAGACTATTCGGGTGCTGGTGGTCGTGGCGGCAGTGCGAGTCGGGGTGGACGTGGTGGAATGACTAATGGCTCTGCTGGACGCACTGGTGGGTCCAATCAAGCTGGTTCTAGAGAAGGTGACTGGAGTTGCGCACAATGCTGCAATATCAACTTTTCCTGGCGAGAGCAATGCAATCGGTGTCATGTAAGTGCATTCCTTGATGGTATGAAAGCGTTGGTGTCCTAGGCATGATCAACTCATAACAAGTCAAATTTAAACTCCCAGTCGCTCATTTTAGTTCAAATTTTACTGGCACAGAGTTGGTCCCACTCTGAGGATTGGCTTACTAATTAATGACCTGGTATTTTCAGAGAATGAAAAGTGTGCTCCTTCCCTGTATTGTGGTGTGCTGATTGTTTTGTTTTTGATTTTCGTCGTCTTTGTCACAGGTTTTCTGTATTTCTTTTGCATGATTATTTTGGTTTCGTATGTGTTTTGTAGCAAATTATGAAGGTTGGTACACGGATGTCCCAATCCACATTCGGCTTATATTTCGAGGGTCAAACCAAGCACGGAGTGCTGGGCGATGTTCTCACCCGAATGTTCTGCTACCTTCCCTCTTGTAGTATTTTTGGGTATGGGGTTTTCTCCTTTTGCTAGAAATCACTTTGTGTGTAATAGAGTGTGCTGGTGGCTCATTCGCCATTCGGTCGGTATGGTTTCAGCGTACATAGCTGGTAGCATAACAAGTCTCTTTTGTGATTACCTTATCAATCAATGGTTCTCATCTACCAGTCAGAAGTAACTGGACCATGAGTCGTCTATATGATTATAGGCTGTATGTTTATCGGTTTGCTGGGCTGCGACTATTGATGCATGTCTCAGTTTCTCTCAGCGATAGATGAGAGGAGTGTAAGCAATATTTGAAAAAAAATTAGCGCCTATTCTGTACTTCGCCTAATCTAGCGGGATGTTATGCGATTCGTCACTCCAAATCCCGGGGCTTAGACTACTGGTTACCATCAACGAACAGCAGGTTTACGTGACTATGGGGTTTACCTTGTCTGCTGTTCATTACACAAGTGTGTGCCATGTCTCTGGTGCATCCTCCATTTCTGGTTTTCAAGAGGTACTCGGCTTTCTGTTTCGGCGTTTTTCACGTTTTGAGCATGTTTTCATCCATACGAAATTTCGAAGTGAGGAAACTGATTGTATTGTATTGTAATGTAATGACCAACTTTTCACTCGATTCGCAAATGTCGGCATGTGCCAATATCATACGAGAGTCCCCTATTCCAAAAGTTTACTTGTTTGATGATTATGGAAGCCATTTTACACCTTCAGGTTGGACTTTTTTATTGACGGCTTGAAAGACACGAAATTTTTTTCCAATTGCCAAATGCAAATCATTTAAGTGATACACGAACAACTTACCAACTGGCGGAAGTTCCTTCTTACCATTAGTTATCATTTTGCGATTCCTGAGAAGGGAAGGTCTAAATACAAACGAAAAGCTTGCCTGCTCTCCAATAACATTGTTCTCATCGTTTTCGCTCCAGGCGGCTCGCTCTCAAGACATGCCAAGCGCTGGAGAAGTCCCGGGTATGCCGCGACCCGCCGGTGTCGGAATGCCACGTGGAGGTGGACAGGGTGCAATCCCTGTTCTCAGTGCCGGTGCTCCACCCGCAATGCCTGGCTTTGGTCGAGGTGGACCAGTAGGAGCCACCATGCCAATGGCTGCTCGAGGGGGCCGTGGCGGAGGTCCGATGCGTGGCAGCGGTGTTGGAGTTGGTAGAGCGCGACCTGCTCCCTACTAATTTAAAGTACTCCCAAACTCTCCGATCCAACGTGTAGCACGACTGCCGGCACGCGGTGCATTTGTCCTTTGTTACCACCTCTTTCTAGTGAACTCTTGTAACCACGAGGGGCTTAAAAAGCATTTCTATGGATGTTTGGTGATTGCTGTCGGTCTATAAATGTGCTTGACGATCCTTTTGTTTTCCGTTTCGAATGATGGCGAGTCTAAGTTTGTTTAAGAGTGAACCGTGTTTTAGCTGTTTTCCCTGGCCTACAAACCCTGCTGTCGTTAGCACGTTTATTATCCACCGTCACAGTGAAGCAAGATACAGTGACGTTTACTACCGACAATAAGCGGTCCGGTTCCTTTATACTAATATTGTAGACTCGGGTTTCATGGTATTTGCGGTTGTGGCTAAGTTTG